TGACAGGATCATGGCGTACCGTTCTTTTCTGCGAAACCCCTCCATGGAGATTGGGCATCTCCTTCTAGCTGGACCTTTGAAGAAGGAGGAACGCATGATTCTACATCTACTTGTCTGGATCCTATGTCGCCGAGCTACGAATCATGCTCAATGTTCTTCAATTGATCTTCGTATTATTCATGCCATAATGAATAATGAGCCTTTAGATTGGGGCATTCTTGTCACCATGACTATGTTCAAAGCCAAACGTCATCCCACCTTCAAAATTCCATATGCCCTCCTTGTCTCTCGCATTCTTGAATACAAAGGAGTAAATGTCGAAGGTGAACAAACAGTACGAACAAATAACTTAAACCGCATGCTGGACAACACATTAATCCAACTCCAAATGGTGCGTGTCAACGATATTTATGTTCACAAGGATGACGTTCCAAACGAAGGTGACGATAATGAAGATTCTGATGAAGATATGCCTCATGCTGCTGAGTTTCCCTCTGATCAAATCCAAAGTGTTGGAACTTCCTCTGCTCATCATGAAACCCGACAATCTATGGAAGACATGTTATCTGATATGAATCAGAGGATGCAGGCATTCTTCACTCTTTCTGGAGTAAGGCATGAGGAAATAATTCGCCGTATATCTGAAATAAAATGTGGTGTTCTTTTATTGTTTTGATTGAGGGGGAGTTATCTCCAAGTTATGCATATTTTGAGGGCGAGCTCTTCTTGTTATAAAAGAATTCTTTTTTATTATAATCAAAATAGGGGGAGAAATATTTAAAGCCTACTATGATTGATTTTAAATATTATCTGGTATGTTTAATGTGTTTGTTAGTATTACAAATAAAACAGGTTATTACAAGGCTTTAAAAGAAAATTTTTATCATCATCAAAAAGGGGGAGATTGTTGAACATTCAAGGACTTGATGTTGAACTTACATGGACATGAAGCTTGTTGATTTTGATGATGATTCAAGATCAAAGAACTTAGAGAGTTGAAAACTTGTTTTATAGTGTAATAACTCTGTTTTGATTAGTTTGAGTCTGTAATATTAGAGTTTAAGATAGCCGGTACATAGTCTGCACTTTAGAAGCTTCAAAAACTCAAATTTATCTTTTTACCTCGGCTTTAATCGATTAAATGGTCAAATAATCGATTATTACAGTGAGAAAAACCATTTTCTGTATCTGTTCACTGTAATAATCAATTAACACACCTGTTAATCGATTAACAGGCCTGTTAATCGATTAACAGGGCTTTTAATCGATTAAAACAGTGAGTTTTGGGGTTCTGTTGATTTTGGCTCTGTAATAATCGATTAACACTTCATTTAATCGATTATTTCAGTCAGATTTTGATTTTCAACTTCAAATCAACCCTATTTTCGAAAACCCTAATCCCAAGACTCCTAGCTCCGAAAATCCCAATTCCCAAACCCTAATTTCTCTACATAAGTTTCTCTATGGCACTCAGAAAAATAGGAACAACCTTTTTCAAACAAAAGTTAAGTGCTGTGAGTGCCAGAGAACTGTTTGTTGGAGGAAAAAGGGGCTTTTGGAACCTGGTGTGGGCTAGAAGCGATAAGAATCACTAGGTGGAGTTCTTAGTGGGTTGTGTGTTGTGCCGTCTCTGGGGAAAACTGTTCTTCATCTCTTGTGGGTTTCAAGAGAGGTGTTTTCTTTACTTTATATCTTTTCCATTGTAATCTATTTGTAACAACTGTGATTATAGTGACAGCGTTAATCCTCTATTTGAGTGATTAGCAACTGGATGTAGGGTCTTTTGATCCGAACCAGTATAAATCTCCTGTGTAAGACTCTATCTCTATCTTATTTACGTTTACACAACTTTTTAATCGGTAAAATTTGGGGAAAATTTTGAAAACCTAATTTTTGTTAAGAAACCAATTCACCCCCCTCTTGGTTTTTGTCCGACCACGCGAACATTCCGCTGCGCGATTCTAACATAGACCTTGGGGGAAATCCTCTTGAGTCAAATAAAGAACTTGCAGGTGATGATGAGTACATAAGAGAGGCTCTTGATGAATTGTATTTGGAAGAAAATGAGCCTTCTCAAACACCTAAATTAGCAAAAGAATGACAATCACCAAGAGGACTTTCAATGGACAATATTATTGGTGATATCTCAAAAGGGGTAAGAACTAGAAATATGACTAATTTCTGCATGTCTGTAGCTTTTGTGTCACAAATAGAACCAAAAAATGTTAAGGAAGCGCTTAAAGATGACCAATGGTGCATAGTTATGCAAGAGGAACTCAATCAATTTGAAAGGAATCAAGTATGGGAATTAATCCCAAGAGAAGAATCACATAAAATAATTGGAACTAAGTGGGTATTTAGAAACAAACTTGATGAAGATGGAAATATAACAAAGAATAAAGCCAGACTTGTTGCCAAAGGTTACTTTCAGGAGGAAGGTATTGATTATGATGTAACTTATGCTCTTGTTGCCAGGTTAGAGGCTATACGCCTATTCTTGCTTATGCATCATTGATGAAATTTAAATTATATCAAATGAATGTTAAAAGTGCATTTTTGAATGGGTTTATTAAAGAAGAAGTATATGTGGAGCAACCCCCTGGATTTGAGGATTTTAGTTATCCTAATCATATCTTTAAATTGAAGAAAGCATTATATGATTTGAAACAAGCTCCTAAGTCTTGGTATGAAAGGTTAAGTAGTTTTCTAACTTCAAATGATTTTTCTAGAGGAAAATTTGATTCTACTCTGTTTATAAAGAAAGTAAAAGAACATATATTATTGGTTCAAGTATATGTTGATGATATCATTTTTGGATCAACTGATAATTCTTTGTGTGTAGAATTTGCTAAGATAATGCAGGGAGAATTTGAAATGTCTATGATGGGAGAATTAACGTTCTTCCTTGGACTTCAAATCAAGCAACTTAAAGATGGAATTTTGTCTCTCAAACCAAATACTGTAAAGAGATTTTCAAGAAGTTTGGAATGGACACTTCAAAGGAAGCTAACACACCCATGGGAACTTCATGCTATTTAGACAAGGATGAATCAGGTTTGGAAATTAATCAATCCATGTATAGAGGTATGATAGGTTCTCTGTTATACTTAACTACAAGTAGACCTGATATTATGCATTCTGTCTGTGTGTGTGCTAGATTTCAGGCATGTCCAAAAGAATCTCACCTAACTGCAGTAAAACGTATTTTAAAATATTTAAAAGGAACTACTGGTTTTGGTTTATGGTATCCATCTGAAGCTTGTACTAGTTTAATAGGTTATTCTAATGCTGATTATGGTGGATGCAAAATAGATAGAAAAAGTACTAGTGGGACATGTCATTTGTTAGGATCATCATTAGTATCTTGGCATTCTAAGAAACAAGCATGTGTTGCTTTATCCACTACTAAAGCTGAATATATTGTAGCTGGTAATTGTTGTGCTCAAATTTTATGGATGAAGCAATAACTAGAAGATTATAGTATATTTCTAAATGATATTCCTTTGATGTGTGATAATACAAGTGCAATCAATCTTACTAAGAATCCAGTAATGCACTCTAGGACTAAACATATAGAAATTAGACATCATTTCTTAAGAGATCATATTAGCAAAGGAAACTGTAAAATTTAGTATGTTGATACAAAGTATCAATTAGAGAATATTTTTACTAAACCTCTTCCCAAGGATAGCTTCTATGATCTTAGAAGAGACTTAGGAATATTGGAAATAGCTTAAAGTCTACTTAGTTAATCGGTTTTTACATGTTTGTAATGAAGTTTCTTTATGAAATAAAATTTGTATTTCTTTGCTTTGTTTGAGGGAGAGTTATTTCCTAATTATGCATATTTTGAGGGGGAGCTCTTAATTTTTTTATTATAATCAAAATAGGGGGAGAAATATTTAAAGCCTCTTATGATTAAATTTAAATATTATCTGGTATGTTTAATGTTTTTGTTAATGTGACAGATAAAACAGGTTATTACAAGACTTTAAAAGAAAATTTTGATCATCATCAAAAAGGGGGAGATTGTTGAAACATACAAGGACTTGATGTTGAACTTACATGGACATGAAGCTTGTTGATTTTGATGATGATTCAAGAACAAAGAACTTAGAGAGTTGAAAACTTGTATTCTTGTGTAATAACTTTGTTTTGATGAGTTTGAGTCTATAATATTAGAGTCTAAGATAGCCAGTACATAGTTTACTCTTTAGAAGCTTCAAAAACTCATTTTTATAAAAAACTCACGGGTTTAATCGATTAAAAGGTCAAATAATCGATTATTACAGAGAGAAAAACCATTTTCTGTATCAACTCTCTGTAATAATCGATTAACACTCCTGTTAATCGATTAACAGGGCAAATAATCGATTAAAAAGTGCGTTGTGGGTTTCTGTTGATTTTGGCTCTGTAATAATCGATTAACACTTGAGATAATCGATTATTTCAGTCAAATTTTCATTTTGAACTTCGAATTAAACCTATTTTCAAAAACCCTAGTCCCAATACACCAAGTTTCAAAAATCCCCAATTCCCAAACCCTAATTCATCTACTTAAGGTTCTCTATGGCTCTCAGAAAAAAAAGAACAACCTTTTTCAAACAAAAGTTGAGAGCTGTGATTGCCAGAGAACTGTTTGTTGGAGGAAGAAGGGGCTTTTGGAACCTGGTGTGGGCTAGAAGCGATAAGAATCACTAAGTGGAGTTCTTATTGGATTGTGTGTTGTGCCGTCTCTAGGGAAAACTGTTCTTCATCTCTTGTGTGACTCAAGAGAGGTGTTTTCATTACTCTATGTTTTCCATTGTTATCTGTTTGTAATAACTTTGATTATAGTGATAGCGTTAATCCTCTGTTTGAGTGATTAGCAACTGGACGTAGGGTCTTTTGATCCGAACCAGTATAAATCTTCTGTGTAAGACTCTATCCTTATCCTATTTACGTTTACACAACATTTTAATCGGTAAAATTTGGGGAAAATTTTTAAAACCTAATTTCTGTTAAGAAACCAATTCACCCCCTCTTTGTTTTTGTCCGTTCTCGCAAACATTCCGCTGCGCGATTCTAACAGAAACAAAAGTGGCAACCACATTAACACCTCTAGTGATAACCGAAGACATAAGGGAAGTATCGTTACCAAAGCCTAAAGTCTTGAAGAGGACGGGTGCATAAAACATGATGACATTAATACCAGTGAATTGTTGGAAGAATGGAATCAGAGAGCAAAAAGTGAGTTGAGGTCTATATTTTGGTTGCGTAATGTTCTTCCATGGGTGGTCCACATCTTTGGCTGCTTTAGTCGCAATAATGAGCTCTTGGAATTCCTCCTCAACATTTTCTGTGCCACGAATCCTTTGCAACATTTTCTTGGCTTCTTCTTCTTTACCTCTTTCAAGTAAAGAGTTAGGTGGGTCACCTAAGAAAAGAGATCCTGCACATAACATTATTACAGGAACTGCACCAATACCTAAAGAAACTCTCCAACCATATTCTAGTTTGGAAGTCCCATAGTTGATAAGGTTTGCAATTAAGATACCAATTGTGATCATCATTTGAAATCCAATGTTGAGTGCACCTCTTATCGTTGTTGGGGCCATTTCAGACAAATACACAGGTACAGACTATTGGAAATAAGAATAGTAAAAGAAAACTTTTTAATGTAGTTAATCATGAAAAATTATCTAAACTTATATAATAAAACTTGAAACAATTGAAAATGATATGAAGTCTCACCTGATTATAATACCCAACACCAAAACCAAGCAATAAACAACCTATGATAATCATTTCAATATTGATGGCAAAAGCATTCAACAATGCACTCCACGAGGAAAAACAAACCACCTACTGTCAAGTTAGTTTTCTATAGCTCTTTGTATGAGCATGATTAACTGTGTGATGAAGGATAGATAGTTCTTTGACTATGTGTCTGATGGTAAATATTTCTTAGTGCTTGTATATGATGTAAAATTACGTATGAATTGATTTATTTATTTCCCTTGATGCATTGGAATTGTTTTTGAAGTGTTTTGTATGGTATGTTAGTTAGTGTGTGTTTAGGAGAGTCGAAAGGAGGTGTTTAGAATTGTTTGGCTGAAAAAGGGGGGGGGGGGTGGGTTGTAACTTCAAAGAACCTCTGAGCTTCCAATCCATATCTCAGTCAATTCCACCGTTTGATTTGCCTGAAAGTTGAAGAGTGTGTTCAAGACATTCTCATCTAAATTTTCACCGTTCAGGGTTTTCGTTTGGACTTCTGTGTAGGGAGAAATAGAGCTCTAATCGTGACTCTGTTTCAAATTCGTTGGAATCCCAAACAGTTTCGGTAAAATCACAATCGCCAATTCGTTAACCGTTGGATCGGTCTCAAATTTGGGTATCAATTTCCTAAGACGTGGTTTTAGGTTCTAACCGTTGGAATTTCCTTTATTAGGTTTATAATGGAAGAAGTAAAGAAAACTCAATTAAGAACAAAAAGGGCAAACTTGTCCTTTAATATTTAGTTGAGGGGCATTGTTGTCAAACATCTTATATTTATTTCAGCTTTCTCCCGATTCAGCAGCATGCAGCTCTTCCTTCTTCTCTTCTTCATTTTTTCTCAAACCCTTACATTTCAATCAACAAATTGAAGGCTAAATCTTGATTTTCTTAAGGAGCTCCAAGAGGTAAGTTTGTTCCTCTCAATTTTCTCTACATTTCTACGGTTTCAATTTTCAATACGGGGTATTTTCGTTTTTCTTCTCGCTTGGCTGGGCTTGAATGGAGTGGGAAGAGTATTATCATAGTTTTATTATTGTGATTTTACACCTAGAACACTAGAATCATGGTTGAAGTGGAGGATTAAAAGTGGTTGAGCTAAAAACCTTAGGAACCCTAATTCGTAGGTACTGTTCACTGAAATTCTGGGAATTGCGTGAACAGAATTAGGAATCGGTGTTTTTATGAAAGTTGTAGGAAATTATGTTCCCGAAATTTGGAAACTGGTTTAACATCAAAGGGATATTTGAAGCTTAAGTTATGTCTATTTTACTGACTAGTGTTCTAGCTATGACGTTAAAATGTTTCCCTGTTTCGATAGTCTCGGTTTTTGAATTTCTGGAATTGATACGTGGAAAATTAGGACTTGATTTCTTCATAAAATTTGTAGGAAATTATATTATCGAAATTTAGAAACTAATTTCACATCAAATGGATATTTGTAGCTCGATTTATGCCCATTTTACTGTCAGGTGTTCTAGCTGTGACGTTAAGATATTACCCTGTTTCAACAGCCTCGGTTTTTGAATTACTGGGATTGATAAATGTGAAATTAGGAATTGATTTCTTGATAAAAATTGTAGGAAAATGTGTTACCAAAATTTAGGAATTGGTTTAATGTCAATAGCTTATGTGTAACATGAGTTATAGTCAAAATACCAAGACATGTTCAGAGTGTTATTGTAGTTGAGCCCTGTTGGAAATAACCACTAACAACATTTATTCGATAGGGTATTTGAATTTATTTTATTCATCAAAGTTGTATGTAAATGAGTCCTTGAAAGTTAGAAACTAGTCTCATGTCAAAATATTGAGTATAGGTTGTGTTATGCCAAAAACACTGAACCTTGTTCATATTTGCTAATAGGAAATCAGTCTCAAGATTTGGAGAAAAAAAAAAAACGTGGACGTACCAGGTAAGGGGAGTTTGTCCTAACCTCTTTGTGATGATTGGTGCAAGGATAATTGAATGAGTGAGTGTTGTGTATTGGATGATTGTGATGGATAATATTCTGTGATATGTTTAGTGCTAATTATGATTAAATGGAATTAGTGTGACAATGTGTATGAGAATGCTATATGCTAATGAACAATTGTATGATGTGAAAATGCAATGTGGGACTGTGTGTCATGTGGAGCTGAGTGCATTGAGAAATATTGATGTGTGTTTGAATTATGATTGGCTATATGGTTATGAACTGTGTGTAATTGAGACTATATGCCTGAGATATGCAAACCAGACTTTGGGGGTCAGATGGTTTTGCTAATTGTGACTGTATGCCTAAGGTATGCAAACCAAACTTTGAGGGTCAGATGATTATGCTAATTGGGGACCCGACTGTGTGCCAGATTTTTCTTGAAGGCGAGGCTATATGCCAGATGTCGCCTAAGAAAATGAATTGGATATTTATATTATTGCCTGATTATACTCTATCATTAGAGTTGTGAATTATAAATGTTGATTTTAGCTCACCCTTGCATTTCTTTGTGTTGTGTTCTACTGTGATCGTACTTGGTACGGGAGCAGGTGATACAGGTGGAGCCTCGGCTACCCAAGGGGATGGGTAAGCTAGGAGGAGCTGAGGGTGGGGGAAAGTTTGGGCACGTAGCTCACTCCCATAGATAGGAGAATGACCATGAGCCTTTTTGTATTTTGAAAGACTTGGCTTTGTACCTATTTATATTCGAAGGATTAATGTATTGTACTTGATTATATATATATATATATATATATATATATATATATATATATATATATATATATATATGTGTGTGTGTGTGTGTGTGTGTGTGTGTGTGTGTGTGTGTGTGTGTGTGTGTTTTAATGAATGAATGAAATTGTATTATTCCAAAAAAAAATTTGGTCTCTCATGAAGAAAAAAAAAGAAAATATATTTTCTCGCATATTTAATGCATGTCAGATTCTAAAAAAAAAAAAAAAGGTTGTGACACCTACGAACATTGAGGTCTTGCGTCCCGTCATTCTTGTGGTGGTGGAAGCAAAGAAAGAAGCTACTAATGCCGCAAGATATAAGGACAAGGTGAACAATGTAAGGAGTTCGTTGTCTAATTTTCAATACTGACTTTCGTGGTTAGATTCATCTTTCATTTGCTTATAAACACTAGGAAAGAATTTTATTAGCAAAGGTTCCATGGAAGTCACTCCTCCCGTAATTCCAAGATCATAACCAAAGAGTAAACCACCCATGCTGCTACAAAACATGTGACCAACACGAGCATTGTGACCTTACCCTCATATTGTCTTCCATCTTGAAGTAACAAAAGTTCCACCCGTCATCTTTCAAAATATTATATTTTAATTGGGTCTATTTGTTTGTTCGATCATTCCCCTCCTTTCCAGTTGATATGAGATTTGAAATAATGACTTGTTTTTATAATCTAAAACATGACAATGATAAAGTGTAACAGATAAGATCATGTATATAATAGTCAAACTAACTTCTTTAACAATATTATATCTTTTCAAGTAATTTAATTATCTATCATGCTATTAGTATCGTAACTTATGTGCATCATTTCTTTTTGTTAAAACTAATATCTTATTTTAAGGATTTCGGATAAGAGCTAATTATTCGAAAGTTACTTATCACGAACATATTGATTAATTTATAAAAGATAATTTATTTTACCATCAATCAATGATATAATCTATGTGTGATTCAAGGAATAGTAACAAATAGATGAACTTATATGTTTATATATTAATATTGTGTTGCTAGTTACCTTATAAAAATATTGTAGTATTTTAGTTTTAATTAAGTTTTTGGGCCCCAAAAAATATTTCATTCTCATTGTGTACCCCTTTGAAATGTGTTTAATTTATTTATTTATTTGATTCCGCTCCATGATGAAGAAAAATAGATTGTGATTATCGATGTTAATGACCAATGCTACCCAACGATAATAAAGTCCAACTTTCTCGCTTCTATGTGTGATAAATGTGCATATTAATTGTGTGGTCCATGCATGTGACACGTTGTTGTTTTATTTTAATAAAAAAAGAAAAGAAAAAACAAACTATCATTATCTTTTGAAGCCAGGAAAACATTAAGGGTTGCTTAACATGTGATGTCGCCGCCGTCAGAAGAGGCGGTCGGAGCGACGCGATGGTTTTTAATTGACTCGCGTTTTCTTTGAAAGAAATGGTTCAACGCCTTTAGGCCGTCTGATAATCGGGCTAGACCTAAGGGCGAGGTTTTCGAATAGGTTCGAGGAGTCGCCACCAGTGTTTTAACCTGAAACACTGAAAAAGGTAAAAAAAGAAAAGGCAGTGGTTTTATAAAAAACCAAGTTTGGCCATTACAACCAGAGTCAGGTAAGAGAGTTAGTTACGTGTGGGGAAGGTGTTAGCACCCCCACAACGCCCCTTTCGGGTTCCCTATGATGGATTAACTTAGAAAAATAAATACTTAAAGAAATTACATTTTTACCCTATTATTTGATCTACTTGCAGAATTTAAATATCTACATGGCTCTACTATCTAATGCACACAAAGAAAGCGATAAAGAAAGCAGGAAAAGAGACAAAGAATAGAAAAGAAACCTCTAAAGCGAGCTTTATATTAACTCTTCTAAAATGTGAGGACACTTTTTGGCAGTCCCCGCACTCTACAAGCACGCTCCTCTCCGCAAAACAAAGAAAAGTCACTCAACCGAGGGCCGGATGCCTCAAAGAGAGACCTCCTTAACCGATTTCAACCTCAACGGAAATCAGAAAGCTCCCTCGAACCCCGGAATAATGCTCAGGGTCACTCTCAAGTGCCAAAAAGCTTCCAAGAGAGTGGAGGAGTGGAAAAAGTGTGAAAATTCGGAGGAATGAGGTCCCTATTTATAGGGATTCGGGCCTAGAAAAGGCGGACGCCCGTCTGGACAAAGCGGACGGCCGTCCAGGGCAAAAAGTGGCCATGGACGGCCGTCCATGTAGTGTGGATGGCCGTCCATGGCGACTTTTTGCCATGGACGGTCGTCCAAGCTAAGTGGACGGCCGTCCTTGGCCTTAAAGTTGCCATGGACGACCGTCTGCTTGTCATGGACGGTTGTCTGCCTGCTCTGGACGGCCATCCGCCTGTTCTAGACGGCCATCTGCTATCTCTGGCGGATTTCCCGATTTTTAATGCCTCTAAAAACCCTTCCTATCCTAAATGGAACCTTGAACAAGATACTAGGGACTTGATAGAGTCTTAACCATCTTCGAAATGAGCGATCTTCGGCTTTATTAGGAGTCCGGGCAAGATTTGGGGTCTACAGCTGCCCCCCCTTTACCCGACCAATTGACCATGGGTTAACATACTATGAGGTCAATTGGCGGGTGAAGGAGTTAACCCTCTTGCCCGGTTGTCTTCTGGATGCTTCTCTTGCTGTGGAGGCTGACCCTTCGGACGATATGCTGTGAGGTTTCAGGATGCTCCTTCGGTGTGGTAGCTGACCCTTCGGCTAACACGTAGAGACTTTCGGGATGCTCCTTTGATGCGGTAGCTGACCCCTTGGACGAGATGTTGTGAGGCTTCAGGATGCTCCTTCGGTGCGATAGCTGACCCTTCTGCTGACACGTAGAGACTTTCGGGATGCTCCTTTGATGCGGTAGCTGACCCTTCAGACGAGATGATCTGAGGCTTCAGGATGCTCCTTCGGTGCGGTAGCTGACCCTTCTGCTGACACGTAGAGACTTTCGGGATGCTCCTTTGATGCGGTAACTGACCCCTCGGACGAGATGTTGTGAGGCTTCAGGATGCTCCTTCGGTGCGGTAGTTGACCCTTTTGCTGACACGTAGAGACTTTTGGGATGCTCCTTTGATGCGATAGCTGACCCCTCGGCTGTGGTGGCGGCTTACAGCTTCTGACCATGCGCCGGCTTTGCCTGTGTGCAGGTCTTCGTCTTCAAGTCTTTTCGTTTCCTGAAGAGGTGGTGGCGGCTTACTATTTCTGATCATGCGCCAGATTTGCCTGGTGTACAGGTCTTTGTCTTCAGGTCTTTACCTTTCCTGAAGAGGTGGTGGCGGCTACTGTTTCTGATCATGCGCCAACTCCATGGGGAGTGATTGTTCTTGATTTTTTTGCGTAGTTATCCGGTATGCCGGGGATTCTTCGCTTTTGGCTTTTTTGTTTAGCCGTCCAGCTTCTTGACTGCTGGGGATTCTTAATGAATGCCTCTTAGGTAGGCAGGGATCCATTGAGAATTTGTTGATTCTGGTGACGCCTCTGGGTAGGCAGATATTTTATTGAGGTGCTGATAGTGCCTCATATGCTTCATCTGAAGTGAAGACTTTTGGCTGTAATGTTTTGCCTCTGAATAGGCTAATATTCCCTTTTGGGGATGTTGGCTCTTGATGATGCCTCTGAGGATATGACTGTGAAGATTGCATTTGGGTGTGAATTCTTCTTTTTGGTGATCCATCAGAGATTTGGTTGACTCCTTGGGGATCAGATTTTGATAACCCTTTGGGGGAATGGGGTCTCGGCTCCTTAATTGATATGGGTGCGAGCTGGCGTCGTCAAGCTCTTATTCTTGTTGGGGAAATGGAATTCCTTATTTTTTCTTCAATCGTCCGACTTGTTGGTTGCCGGGGATTTTAATGATTGCCTTTTGATGTAGGCAAGAATCTGTTGGGGATTCATTGGCCTTTTATTGGCGATGCCAAGATACTTCATCGGAAGTGCAGACCTTTGGTTTGCGTTGTTTTGCCTTTGAATAGGCGGATCCGCTCGGGGGTAGAATTTCTCTTGGTTGCTTCTTGTTTTCAAACACAAGCATGGAGCTAGTCTCCTTGTATGCATGAATTCTTTTTGTTGTGTTTCTGAAGCGATTATTTTTATTTTTACTTTTTGTTTTGACAAAGTCGTTTTGTGCAACTACTTGTGTGAATGCTTTTTTAAATGCAGTTTATTTTTATTCGGTGCATCTAAAAAGTGACTGGCATTTCTTGCTGGACCACCGTGATTATGCTGATGGGCTCTTCTTTCATTCATCTTTTTTTTATTAAGCCCTATCTTTTGCCTAGACCGTCTTTTTGTGGATTTTTGATCTAGCGGGCTACCTTAATTTTGCTTAGGATATTTCAGCGGGTTTTGACTCTTTCTCTTTTCTTATGCTTTCTTGTATTGCATGATTATGATTTATTCAACACAGAGGCATTTTCATAATTTGGTCAAGAGAAAAGAAATGAAAGACAACTTTATTGATATGAACAAATAGTTTATTTCTTACAGATGGTTTTTACAAAGGGATTTAGAAGCATGGTTGGCCAAGGTTGGCTACACTGTATAAGCTATAACGATCATGCCTCTAATGTCTGCCCCCCTGGTTCTCCTAGTTACCTTAGTTGAGATGCTCGAGCCCGGAGTGAAGACAATGCAGAGGTTGCTTGCTTCTGGAAGGACATTACCTTAGTCTCCTTTCGGTTTTCGGCTAAGGTAACCATTTCTCTTTTTATTTCCATCTTTTTTTTGAAGCCTCTAAATTTTGCCTAGGACGTGTCCTAGCGAGGCGTGCGGATCCTAACTTTTGCCCAGGACGCCTTTTTGCGGATTTTCATCCTGGCGGATCACGAGCAATGCCTTCAAGCGTGATACTTCTTCACCGCATCTGAGTTGACTGGGTGCCGCAGTTCTTCTCCATCCATGTTGGTGAGGATAAGAGCTCCTCCTGAGAATGCTCGTTTGACCACAAAGGGTCCCTCATAATTTGCCGCCCATTTTTCGATTCTATCCTTCTAGGCCGGAAGCAGTTTCTTTACTACTAGATCCACCTCGTGATAATTGTGGGGTTTGACTTTTTTGTCGTAAGCCCTTTTGATTTTCTTTTGGTAGGCTTGTCCGTGACATATGGCGTCCAATCGTTTCTCTTCAATGAGGTTCAATTGATCGTACCGATTTTGGACCCATTCTGCTTCTGTCAACTTTGCTTCCATGATGAATCGCAGGGAGGGTATTTCAACTTCTATTGGTAATACGGCTTCCATGCCATACACAAGGGAAAACGGAGTGGCTCCTGTGGAGGTGCGTACGAAAGTTCGGTATCCGTGTAGGGCGAAGGGTAACATTTTGTGCCAATCTCTATATGTTATTACCATCTTTTGGATGATTTTCTTGATGTTCTTGTTGGCCGCTTCTACTACACCGTTCATCTTGGGTCGGTATGGAGAGGAATTGTGATGTTGAATTTTAAAGTCCTGGCATAATTCTTCCATC